AAAGCATGTACTTTCTGGGAAAGGTTCAAGAAATTCTTCAAAATGGTGCTCAATGACTGCAGAAGTAGAAGTTTCTCCAGATTCTGAATCATCTGATGATGATGATGAATCTGTGTTATCCCTCAAGTAGAGAGGATACCAGATGTTGACAGTCTATTATTGGAAAAACTTATCGAACAACTGACTCTTGTAGCACCGAAGAAAACATTGCTGATAGAGGTTCAATTGACTCCAGAGACGCTGCAATGAACATTGAGGATCAAGTAAAGAGGGTGGGTGTTGAAGGCCCAGAAAAGGACACATGACAGTGAGATAATCAGCTTTGCAAGACTTAGTAATGAAAAAGTTGGATCCTCAATGCAAAGCTGCCTGAAGAAGAGATTTTCGAAAGGCAATAAGATGGTATTCCGTAGAATGTACAGAATTGATTGAAGTCAGCTTATTTAGCTTTGTTGTGATAGTTGGTTTGTTTGTTTGTTTGTTGTCTTTGTATATTCATCCAAACCTGCCTGATGAAGTTAGAGAGGCATTACTTGTTTTTGTTGTTAGTTTGTATGTCAAAGAAGAAGGTAATAGTAGGTGAAGATTTATTATTATATAAAGACAGTTGTAAATTTTAACTCTTAATTAGAGTTTTGAAGTACATAGGGTTACTATACTTAAAAAGGGACTTGTCTTTTGAATAATGCATATTGTTGTTCTGCTTGGTTTCATTTCTAGAACTCAAAATTTCAGATCCTTTTTATTATTGTTTAGTGTTGATATTCGAGAAAAAAAATAAAATAATTTTATTTTTTTATGTTGTTATATTTATAAAATTTTTATTTTTATAATAAAATTTAATATTAATTAATTAATTAATTAATAAAATATACTAATCAATCCTCCTTTCAAATTGCCAACTTACAGATTAAGTTCTGACGCGTCATACTGCAGTTTAATGTCAATAGATGTCAAAAAAAAAGTGCTGCAAACTAAAATCAGATCTGTCAAGCTCGACTCGATTCAAAACGGCACAATCTGGCTCAAAACAACTCGATTCGCCTTTAAACCGCTAAATTCGGCTCAAAACGGCTTAGGTTCAACTCTAAACATGCTCGGACTCGGCTTTAAACAGCTCAGACTCCATCGGAATACCACACGAGCTCTCACGCGCCACCAAGCGCCAACGGATGCCCAGTTACCGAACAACCACGTGTCACCATGTTTCACTGCTGAAAACCGCAACGCGCCAACTGCCACGCACGGCCCATGCACCTCCGCCAGAACTGTCACGCGCCACCACCGGCCACCACACATCGTCGCCAGAAATCACCAAAACACCCCAGAAAACGCTAGTAGTTCCAAATCCAACACGAATCTGGTGATATCGCACCAAAAACCGCCTTGAAACGCCTTGGATCGGGTTTCACGCAATTTGGCTGCTGTCATGTTGGTTTGTCTTCTCTAGCGTGCGTTCTTTCTTTTCGGCTCCGATTTTTCGCACAAACCCGACGTTTCTTCTCTCCCAGTCGCAGCGCCGAGCACCAACAGCTCCTTTCAAGTAAATACAATATCCAACCTGCTTCTCTGCTACGTAGATCTGCTTCTCCAATCATCCGTCGACGCTCCGCTTCAATCGAAGCAGGTCCACGCACGGACAGAGAAGGTCGACCACTGTGTGTGATTTGTCTTCTCCTGGTTGCCACTTGCGCGCGCGTAATCTGGTCTGATTCGCCGCCGGTCATTGTTTTCTCTCTGTCTCATCTCATATGTGATAGAGGCTCCGACACTGTTGGTGGTGATAAGAGTATATTTGGATAAATGGGTACTGACCCAACCTCGTCTATTATTTTAGAGTTTGAAAAAAAATTATTAAATTAAAAACATAAAATAGTTTTATTAAACTCTAATATTTTGTTAATTTTTAGAAAAAAAAAATTATTTTTTTACCTTTTTATTATATTTAAAATATTTATAAAATTTTTATTCTATTAATAAATTTTTTTTTTATTCTACTACACTTTTAAGATATTATTATTCTTATAAAATTCTAATTATATAATATTTAATTAATTAAATAATAAATTAAAATAATTAAATAATAAAATATACTACTCAATACTTACACCCGATTTGGATCGTGGTGAATGATAAAATTTTAATGTATAATACTCTACGGGTATGAGAAAATTATATTTGTTTCAACTTCAAATGATAACAAACGAAATCTAATTGATAAATTTGAAATAAATTTTAAAATAACCAAATCGGTAGTATCTGACCGATATGTTATTATTTTTTTTTCTTATACCCTCACATAATATAATTAATTCTATTTTTATCTATCACAAATTATTATTTATTTTATTAAATATAAAAATTTAATTTAATTATGTATAATAATTATTTATTTAAATATAAATATAATTATATTAGTAAACAATTTATTTTTTTTTTCATTACATATTTTTTATATATTAGTTATTATTATATATAATAAGTATGAATAAATTAATAATTTGACTGAAAATACAACCATACCATCCTATTATCTAAATAAAAATATATTATTAATATACAATCATCTAAATATAAAATTTTTTTTATCATTTTTATTCTGTATTATTATCATGTAATCACTGCTATTATCATATATTAATTAATTATTATTAAAATTTATCAAAACAGAATATTAATCCCTAAAAACACTTTAAAAAATTCCCAATTTCCGTTGATAACTTTTTTTTATGTGTCAAATGTCTTACTGGAATAGCAAGACCAGCTAGTATTGGTGGTTTCTTCCATGAGCAGGGAACATCTTTGAGCAAATATTGTCCAAATGTCGTGAGACATTGTTTATCTGGCTTCTCTCTGATACAAGCTACTTGAAATTTGAAGCAGTCAACTTGCATTATAACTTATTTCTCATGGTCAACTCGGTAACTTAACCAGCCAAAAAGTATTTCCTTCTTGGAGACAGATTCTAACATCCCTCAGACTCAGACTATTCTTTCAATTTTGAGCCAAGGAAAGGGTCTCCTATTTCCTCGTCAGTCTTGGGTCTTCTAATTCTTCACAGGTAGTTCTATAACAGAAAAACATCCTGTTCAAAAAATGTGTAGTTCATCCTGAAAGATAATGGAAACGGTTTGTCTTCCTGAAAGATAACCTGCCTAAAAAAACGGCCAGACTTGCTGCTTCTTGTGCTTTATGTGGTCAGCAGAAGAGTTTCTGATAGACGAAAAACATCTTAAAATTAAATACGGATGCAAGTTTACGAATACACCGATTCCTTGGTTCATGAATGGGGAATGGGAAAAAAATCAAGTTTTCCTTGCTTGCATCATTGGGTCAGCCAAGAAATCAATAAAAGACCTAGAGCAGATAAGCTCAAAGCATCTTGCTGCAATCAAAACCAAAGCAAACAATATTGACAGAATAAAACCAGGCACAAGTTAACATTCTGCAACTGAGCTATTGGTTAACAATCTGATCAAAAGTAGCATAATCAGAAGCCCTACTTCCTAAAAGGACAGACAAAACAACTTGTTTCCATATCCCCATTTTCGGAACGAAACCTTGCTTCACCATTTGCTTCAAAACCCAATCTGCATCCACAACTAAGTTTTCTTCACAAAACCCCTGAATTAACTTCTTATAGGACACAAAACTAGGAGTTGCACCCGAAGAAATCATCCTACCCATTAACTGTTTGGCCTCCGAAAACCTTTCTTTATCCAGCAAACCATACAAAATCTCCTGGTAAGACCCTGGATTCGGTTCACAACCCTTCATCTTCATTTCCTCCAAAAGCACCATCCCTTCTTCAACCCTACCTTGTTTCCTTAACCCTGAAAGCAAAATATTAAAACAGATGGTGTCTGGATCCACTCCCTCCTTTTCCATCCTGTTCAACAAACCAAATGCTTCATCTAACTTGCCGTTATCACACAAACTTCTCATCAATGGTGAAAACGTCCTCACGCTAGGACTACATTTTTGCTTAGGAAATTCGTCGAGCACATAGAGTGCAGCCTCCAAATTCCCACTTTCACAAAGCCCTTTTATCAGAATATTTAAGCAACAAGCATCAATCTCTATACCCAATTTGGCAGCACTTTCATATATCTCATGAACAGCATCAAACAGCTTCGATGACACAAGCAAGTTCAACACAAAATTAAAGGTTTTTACGCTTGGCCAGTATCCATTCTTGGGCATATCGTAAAGGGTCTCTATCGCTCTATTAATCCGGCATGCCATATTCCCATAAACTTTTATCACGTTATAGAAGAACTCCTCTGATAAACGACAAGATTTTTCAAGCTTAATCTTTTTCAGGACCTCCTCAACGTCATCAAATTTCTTGGCTTGTGCAAGCTTGTTGATTATGAGAGTATACAGAGCTTCAGTGGGTTTATAGTCCTTTCGCTTCGAGTATTGGTCTAAAACAGCGAGAACTGAACTGGGGTCTTTAAGGTTGTCGAAGATTTTCAGGACTTCATTTGGGGCTAACCAGTCTTTGTGGTTCAGTCTGATGTTATTAGCATTGGAGTGTTGTTGTGAAGCTGAACAAGAATGAATTGGAGAGGAAGAAGAAAGGAGATGAAGAGGAGAAGCTAAATGTTGAGTGATTCTGCTACACGTTACCCAAGCAACGAGCTTAGAGGAGAACATGGTCTCTACATCATATCGCACAATTCCCACTTCACAGTGTGTTAGGGTTTTTTTTTACTTGGATTATATATGCATTCTGTAGAATTTCATTAGAAGTTTAAATAACCTTAATTTAGTAAAAATTTAAAGTGGTTGACTTAAATCATTATATGAAGTTTATCGATTAAATTTCTTTCCGATATAAAACTAAAATATTATATTTTTTACTGTTAAATCATTAATGTACTTGTTAATATCAAAATAATAATAATAATAATTTCAATTTAAAGACTGATAAAATCTTCAATTATTTAATGTAAAATTATAATATTATTTGTATTCTAATACTATTTATAAAATCATAAATGTTGATGTCCCTTGATTTTGAGTCTATTTTAAAAATATTTTGATATATTTTTAAAAAATTTAGTATTTTATATATATAAAAATTTATAATTTAATTGATTTAGTATATCCTTATTATTCATTATAGTAAAAAAATTTCTCTTCATCTTATTTGATGTAAGCATATATGCAGAATTATATAAATTTTATATTTTTTCTTCTTCTATTCATTATTTTGTGTGATTCTTTGCTTGATTTAAATTAATTTTTTACAACAATAAGATAAATAAATAGGAACCTAAAACTCAAGTCAAGACAACTTTGACTATCTCATACGGTATGGTTCCGATTCACTATTTATCTTATGTAGGTTCTTCACTTTAAAAAATAAGATTAGTATTTATTATTTTTATTCGGAAATTTAAGATTATCACTTAAAAATACTATTATGGGAGAAGATTATTGTGCTACCATATACTATTACACAGTTAGAAAACGAGTCATGAGTTCAATATGCTAATAAGGGGAGAGCAGGATTCAACTTGAAGCTGGTCTTCTTTCTATTAATCATATATATGATTCTGTGCTATACAAAATAATTTTTTGAAATGTTCTTCACAATGTTACCATGAAAATCTGTCAAAATGATTTGACTGTACAAATAAATTACAAATATATTCTCTATTGTTATAAAAAGGTCATCACTTCTTCTTCTTACCTGCAAGAATTGGCTGGATTTGCAGTCTTCTACTAAAAGCTTCATTGAAAAGGAAGCGAGTCTGAAAGGCTGATATGATTGGAAGCCATGCTAAGATAGCTATGGGTGCAAAGAGGACTACACCCATTCCATAGTCATATGTTTTGGCAAGTATCTCGGTGAAGTGCCATAGCCCAGTATCCACTATCTTCGGTCTCACTGCTTGGGCAATCTGATCGAAACTCAAATCTCAGACACATTGTCTTAGACTAAAAGAGAAGAGAAGAGAAAGCAAAGAAAAAAGAGGGAAGAAACTGAGCTCACCAATATCAAACCCCATCCAGTTGGCAAAAATGCTAAACAGCACACTATCAGGTCCTTTAGAGATAGTTTACAGATGATAGATAGGGTACTGATCAAGGCTAACCCACTTAAGAAGAGAAAGACTTTAAAGAACCTGAAGACAAGATGGTTCTTAGCACTAAACAGCTGTCTACCCAAGTCCACTGCCTGCATATATCATGTAAGAATCATGTTATAAATATATATATGATATTTTCTCCAATTATTAATACCAGAAGAACAAAAATTCTATGCAGAAATAGCTAATCAAATTTTAGCCAAAGAGGCATAGTTTCAAGTAGGGTAAGTTCATCGAGAATACTTTGGATCAGACCTGAACCAGCTTCTAAAGTACATAGACATACTTTTCAATAGAAGAGGAAGATAAAGATTTTACCTTGACTGTTAGAAAGACTGCAAGAATCACAACCCAAGAAAGCACATAGACCAGGAAATTTTTGCTCTGTTGGGAGATGTCAAGGTGATAGACCAGACCATATTGATATAGGAAAAAACGAATAGACAGAAGCATTTCAAATAACCTTGCACCCAGCCCTGAACGATGAAGGTGGGTTTGCTCGTCGTTCCACCAAGACTGCCAACTTCTGTCTTGTTGGATTCCAATACCTCCTTGCTCTTTTATCCACTTATTCCAGTCTTTCCAGTCATCCACTATCCTTTCCCAGCTAAATCCCGAAGGGTTGAATAAAAATGGTGCAAACAACCAAGTTATTGACATAAACCAAACAGAGTAGGTGATTAATACGTATGCCATGCTGCTCTGATATGATCGTTTGAATAAATCATATACGATCAAGAGGAGCAAGAGTTCAAATCCTTTCACAAAATGACTTCGTGAATATAATCTATAATTCTCAGTGAAGCTGGCATGAAAGACCACAACCTTACGTCCAGTGGGTCTGTACTTGGCTCCACCATGCAAAATTGTTCGACCATAATAATGAGTTTTTGTTCCAAGAGCAAAAGTAAAGAAAACAGCAGCAAGCTGCAGTTGCATAAGAACAAAATCTTTAAGGGCTGTAAGAAAACCTTTCTCAAGTCCAATTTCCATCACCATCGGTAATCCTGTTAAGAGGCCAAGCTGGATAAATGACTGGGAGGCAAGGGCCGTTTCTAGTGATTTTATGTTTTTCATTCTTGCTTCAAGAAGAAGAGCTTTTTCCAACCCGCTAAGAACCAAGTATAGTTGCCCATAGAGGAAGACATAAATTCCAATAACTGAAATCTGTCAGTGTTGACATCATTTCAATTAATCACCACATCCATGACAAGATATGTCAAAAGAAAAGGTAAGAAATTCAATTTATAAAATATTAAGCATTTCCACTCTTTTTCTTTTCTACCCTTCATATGCCAAAATAAGTCTTCTTCCATCTCATAGTTATAGATAACATGGAATTTCAGTTTGCATGTGAAATTGTTAGTTGCTGACCCATTATTCCAAAAACTGATAGAAAACTGACCAGCTCTATTATTTATTATTCAGTCACAAAAACTATATAAATTTTTAAAAAATATCTAATTTCGTATATACTAACATATTTCTTCATGGCATATTATCTATGCCTCCAATACCATGCAAATAATTACCTTAAATGACCAATCATTTCAAACATTTAAACAAATTAGTCAAAATTTTATTATTTATATTCTAACAAGTCTCATGCCTCAAAAATAACTTTTGGGTTCAAAGAACTTACCAAACTGCTGAAGTAAAATCCAATTGTTGTAAAGTAACAAGAAAGCATCCGGAAAAAATCAAACTGTTGCCCAAGGCGGTACATATCACGGCTTATAGTCTGTTCACTGTTTCCATTAGCTACTTTGGCCTCAAACTTTGAGATTTGATTTAGGCCAACATCACGACCTTTGCCAACTTGGAGGTACTCATGGTATGTTATAGATCCCCGTCTTAAGGTAGAATTAAATCCTACACAAGATCAACCATACACTTACATATAAATCAAGAAATGCTCGATATAAGATCTTTAGTAACTTTGTACCAGCAAAAACATCCTCGCTCAAGTTAATTGTTTTAGACGCTTTGCTTATGCCACCTCTTGTTA